CAGATCATGCGCCTCAAGCGGATCATTGAGTTGCACATGGGAGAGCAGAGGATGATCGGGGGCAAGTGGAAGAAGGTCCAAGGACCTGTCGAGGCCCCGACCTGGGCTAAGCCGCTCCCGGAGGCCGAGAAGATGATGTTGGAGATGCGGACCCATCCCTGCACCTTCCACGGGCCCTTCTTCGAGCCGATCGCCTTGACTGAGGAGGAGATCCAGATGCAGATCGGGATGGGTAACAGGCCCGCCCTCCAGAACATTGCTGGCCCCTTCCATGCCAAGGATGACGAGGGCACCTTTTAGTGGCGCAAGGAGGTGCAGACTTGGGACTTGGTGACAGCACCTTTGGTCACGGCTACACTGCCAGACACCTCTATGCGGTCTGGAGTCACCTGCCGATCACGATTGCATCACAAAAAGGAGGGGCAAAGAACAAGGCTGCGAACAATCAGCGCCGGGATGATGTCCGGGCGATCCAGAAGGAGGTCAAGGATTTTGTGATCCTGCACGACCTCCCAGTCCCCACATCGGACCTGGAGTGGAAACAGTTGCACCGCGAGATGGGCTCTTTCTTTGCTGCCAAGGTCTTTGTCAACAGGACCCCTCAGGTCGTCATGGACCTGCCCGTGGCAGACATTCATGACTGTAAAGAGCACCTGCGGTTCCGGATCACCCTCCCCTGAAGGCCTTTCGGGATTTCCCGCAGATCTACAACTCGCTCTCCACCTCCTTGGGCCAGGAGGCTGTGGTGGAGGTCAAGATGGCCTGGCGCTGCAACACAGAGCAGTGGTGGACGGCCCGTCTCAAGCCGGAGTACGCAGGGCCCATCTACAGAAAGCTCGGCTACTCCGAGGCCTACATCCAGGGTCTCGGCCTTGGTTGGGGAAGTGGACACCTCAGCTGCCTTTGGCGCTGAAAGGATCTCCCTGAACCTCTCTGCGCCGGAACAGGAACTGGCGCTGCCCCCCATCACCCCGGACAAAACGGCTATGGAGTGCGGCTTGGTGTTGAGCTTGGTGTCGCCTTGACAAGAAGAAGGGTGGATACGTTTGCCGCCACTGCCGTGGTTTCTGGCGCGGAGGCAAGGGCTCCAGCCTATTCCTCATGATCACCGGGGAGGACAAGGGCAAGTCCGCGCAGCTCCAGCTTATCCTCAATTACCTCTACGAGCCCGATCGAGTTCTACAAGAGGGTGGAGCCCATGCCTGCCACGGGATCGCTCCTTTCGGGTCAATCCCAACCTCAGCTCCCTTCTCCGGTTCAGCAAGAAGAACCTCATGGGCTGGTCGTGGTCCTCTCGAACCCGGAGAAGGACGGCCTCAAGAAGACCTGAGCACCTAGGTCTGGTGAAGGGGAACCCTTACGAGGTGCCTTTCGCCCTGAAGGGGGTTCTCCCCTCAGCTGGCCTGCTTTTTGATTGGGGGCGGCTCCCCGCTGAGCCCTGCTCAGGCCTTTGACTGGTGCCGGAATGCTTTCTTCAGTGGGGGCCCTACCAACCGGGGTGGCTCCCAGGTGCCTTTGGCCCTGAGAGACCTGCCTGGGATACAGGGTAAGGCTCTCGCTCGACGGGACGACCTTCTGCGAGTCGTTGCGCAAAAAGTTCAGAGTGCGAGGGGTGAGTGTTCGCTTTTTGAGCACTCCATAGGAATTATGCAGTCAGATGGCGAAATCTAGGCAGGGGTACTCCTGGACCCGATCCTGCGTGGTTCGGGCCGCTCCTTTGAGGAAGTGCAGATGCCGGCCCCTAGGGGTCCCCGAAGAGAAGCCACGTGGGTGGTCCTTTCTTACCGGCCCACCAAGGTTTTTCAAGCGATCGTGGAGAAAGCCCTGTCTTTAACGGCAGGGCCATAAGGGGGACGAGGAGCTGCAATTCCTCCTCTCCTACATGTGGAACCTGGGTGTTATAAAGCTTCGGAAGGAAAACCCTCCCACCTCCTTCCCGAGGTCATTTTGCGACGAGCTGAACGGGATCGTGTTGCCTGGAACCGCCTCAGGGAAGGGATCCTACTTACCCCTTGTGTTGTCAGCCGATGGCGACACTGGAAGCCTGGGAAGGTTTCGGAACACACGGTTGTCAAGCAACGTGTCTTGGAGAGGGGTCTCGGGGAGAAATGGGGAGAACGTCTTCTCTCTTTCCTTCTTCCGGTTGCCAGCCAAATCCCTCACATGGCGGCCATGATGCCTCCGGGGACTACGGTCATCTCATTGGAGCTAAAAGGGGAGTTCATGGATCTACTAGGTGATGCGAGATTTCGCACCCTCAGGATGCGATGCCTCTCTTTCGAAGAACTTAAGGCGCCTTGGCTTTACGGCTATGCCTTGGAAAGAGTCGGACGTTCGGGTCCTTCTCAGCACACTCAGGGACCGCGAGGTTTAGCTTTATAAGCTCCAGCAAGTGTGGGATACCCTCAAGTGGTTCAGTAGGAAATTTGGTCTGCTTGCCATTGACGAAATCTTTAGGCTCACTGAGAAGAAGAAGTCTCTCTCGGAGACTCTTGTCAGCACGGTGCATCGTCAAATGAGGAAGGCCCTTGTCCCATCTAAGGCCTTCGTGATTCAACTGGAAGAAACTGCTGCCAGGACCCCTTCAGGATCGGAATCCAGGATCCACTCGATGGACTCCTTCATCTGTGGCATCGTCAGGTTCCAGCTTGGGACCAGTGCTCGCTTCAGTGACCTCCAGCACACGAACCCTGACACGCTTAAGGTCACCTCTACCACGGTGGA